GATCTTCCATCAGGACAACGGTCCAAAACAAACATCAAAATCAAACACAAAAATGGGTAACTGAGCACAAAATGAAGCTTGAAACGAAGCCATAACCGTCCCAGTTGTCTAAACTCAACCCTATAGAAAATGAGTGGGGTGAACTGAAGAGAAGAAGCACCAACATGAACTTGTGAATCTGAAGGATCTGGAGAGATTCTGTATGGAGGAATGGTCTCTGATCTCTTGTCAGGTGTTCTCCAAACTCATCAGGCATTATAGGAGAAAACTCAGAGCTGTTATCTTGGCAAAAGGAGGTTGCAAAAAGTATTTAATAACAGGGAGCCAATAATTATGGCCAGCGTGTTTTGGAAAAAAGCATTTATTTCATAATGTGATTTACCCCCCACTTTTAATTATTTTACTTAAATGAAAGGTTAGAAAGGTTAGATTATATATATCACTCCACAGAACACGTTTCCACTGCTCCAGAGTCCAGTAGCGGAGTGCTTTACACCACTCCATCCGACACATGGCATTGGACTTGGTGACGTGAGGCCTGCATGCAGCTGCTCGGCCATGGAAACCCATTCTGTAAAGCTCCCACCACACATTTTTGTGCTGATATTAATGCCAGTGGAAGTTTGGAACTCTTCAACTATGAAATCAGCAGAGCGTTGGCAACTTTTACATACCATTTTGCTAGGGCTGTGCGATGGATTGTTATTGATTTTCGATTTCGGCTTCCAATGATTATGAAAACAAGATAATTCGGTCCAGTGCACCTTCCTTTTCTCCACATAGGTGCACTTTCATTCCTCCCTAAAAGCCCAAACTTAACATCCAAATCAGCCAAATAAGTGAGTGATGTAAAATGCAGTCTACTGTTGCTAAACTGCTGATCGTGTTTGGTATCAAACAATGTTATTAAAAGCGCATTAAGCCAGAAAAGAGACACTGTTCCCCTGTCAGCTTTACTGTATGCGCTCCGAGCCGAGCCGAACGCAGATATGCAAATGGTCTTTGATTACATGCCTAAAAGCATGCACACAAAAATGTCAAAATGCCTTTTTGGAGAGTCCCAAAACGTAAACACAGTGGGTTATGTCTTAAAGGTGCTCTAAGCGATTTCAAGCGTTTTTTAGGCCAAAACATTTTTTGTCACATACAGCAAACATCTCGTACACACTGTAAAAAAAACACGGTCTCTGTAGACACCCCAGGCTCCACAAACGGCAACAAAAACAAACTGGGCCAACCTGCACCACGAAACATAACAAACAGTGTTCCAGCCAATAACCGACAAGAAGGATTTGGGGGTTAGTGCGCGGATGAGGAGGAGGGAGGGTCGAGCTAGCCCCAATTTTGTTTGACAATACTTCAAACGTCAACAAAAAGTGACGTCACCCAACATAGAGCACGCTTAGAGCACCTTTAAGTAAACGTACACAGTTGAATAAGATAACACGCCTGTGACAGTAGGCTAAATTGGATATGTCCATTAGCTCTTAAAGTGACAGCTGCCTAAAATACCTGCTGCAGTCTGTCATTAATGATAATCAATTAAACAACAAATGACAAAGGGAAATCACTCACTGATCTTGACTGAATAACTTAAGTAGCTTTAATAAGGATTGATCTATACTTAATGTGTACAGTAAGACTATGCAGTGTGATTTTAGATTTGATTACATTTTTTTTGTAGGCTATTACTTATCTGAATACCACTGTTAGTACATCACCCTGTTTGTAGTACATCCGTTTTATTTGTAATTAGTTTCTTTGTTCTTATTGTATTGCTGTTAACTTGTTTTATGTAATTGTTTTAAGGAAATTTTACTTACATTAGTGAACCTAATATTAGTTTTTGATGAAGTATTGGCAGGGCATATCACCCACCAATTATCGTTTTAAATAATCAATAATTCAATACTGACCATCATGATTATGATTTTTGCCATAATTGAGCAGCCCTATCATATGTATCAGCACTCAGTATCCCCACGCTGTGACTTTACATGGTCTTCCACTTCTTGGCTGAGTTGTTACTGTTCCTAAACACTTCCACTTTCACAATAATACCACTTACAGTTGACCGTGGAATTTCTAGCAGGGATGAAATTTCATCAACTGACTTATCGCAATGGTGGCAACCTATCACAGTACCACGCTTGAATTCACTGAGCTCTTCAGCACAACCCATTTTATTATTATTATTATTATTATTTTCCAGCATTGCACGGTGTTGCTTCTAGGATACTGTATGTACTTTAAAAGATAAAAGACCCATCAAATAGTATTGACGACCATTTTATTTTTTCAAGAAAATGTAATTAAATATTTTGTAACATTGCTTTCATAATGTGTGCAATAGAGGGTTAAAGCTCAGTTTGCTCTGGTGGTTCCTCTCCATGCAGTTATGCTGTGCACGTGGCTGTGCCTCATTCGAAAGCGCTTGCTGATGTTTTACATTGATCGTGACTTATGAAGGCGATTCAGCATGACAGTTAACAGGGCAGTGAGTTACAGGAGGGTTGATGTCCAATTAGCGCCGTCTCCTCTGCTTTAATGAGTGGTGGTAAATTTCAACTCCATCTCCCTGGCACAGTTTAATTAGCTGTAATTACATATGGCCTGACCTTTGCAGAGCCCTGTCCTGTTGATTTACAGGGCTGCAGGTCTCTTGATTTATCCCCCTGGGAGGCTGAAGGAAGGCCAGAGAACGTGAGGGACAAGAGAGTTCAGTTCAGCCTGATAGAGTTCTTCAGGTATCTTGGCTCAGGCTTACTGTTGATCTTGGATGAGTTGTTTTTTCTTTTTTTGTATTTGGGAGCATTTTCCATTGATTAAACGGTTGCTAGTTCCCATAAACTAGGGAAGAGTGTGGAACTGAGAAAAATGACTTAATGACTAAAATAACAAAATTTTGAGCTCAAACTTGACTTTTGACCACTATTTTAAAGTTACTGTACTCCGCCTTTGTATTGTCAGCAAAAAGTGAGAAGTCATGCCAAGGCAAAAGGCAGTAACTTCCACATTATCAATATTTGGTTGCTGATCACCATTAACAAAATCATTATACACTCTAAAAAATGCTGGGTTGTTTCAACCCAAATTTGGGTCAAACATGGACAAACCCAAATGTTGGGTTAAAAATGTACTTAAAAAATGTACAGTTGAAAGTGAAAGTTGAAGTTGGGTTAAAATTTTAAATTACATTTTTAACCCAACATTTGGGTTTGTCCATATTTGACCCAAATTTGGGTTGAAACAACCCAGCATTTTTTAGAGTGTAGTAACACCTGTATAAAATCTAGTGATCATGGCATTTAATTTGTATGATTTACAATTATAGCCTTCTACTTATTGTGCTTTGGTTGCATTCTGGTGGCCCTATTAATACATTAGACATGACAAAATACCTACATAGCGGTAAAGACTATCTTCAAGTGTTACCGAGTGGCATAAGACTTGCTAAACACGCGTTCAAAATGATCACGATAAAACAGATCCTCACGCACATTCGACCCGGAGACTGGTTTATAGCGGTGGATCTGAAAGACGCATACTTTCACAGGCGTTTGTTTACCAAGATTCGTGTTCGAAGGTGTCACGCTCCGTTCACGAAAAGTAGCCTATGCAGTGCTTTACCCCTTAGGACTCAGTAGGGAGCGCGTTCTGGACTACCTAGACGACTAATGGATTTATAGCACGTCCTTCTGTTTTCTGCGTCTTTTCAGTAGGCTATGCATTGGTTTCAGCTGTCTGCCCCATTATTGTGCGTGCACTTCACTCGTCCCGCGGATTTATCCCAGACGCTGTGTTTTGTATGCATGTTTTTAACAGGTGTTCTGATGTTGTATGCACCAGCACTTCTTGCTTCATTATGTTGTATGCACCAATATACCCTTGTTGCTTCATTATTATCACTCCCTGTGATATATTAGTCCCGCGCGTCGGCTCGACCGTGTTCAGGGCGGAGCTGAAGGCGCCGGCGAAGTTTTGGCACTCTGCCAGCTAGATGCATGATTGTTTCAACTAGGTCCGGTACCCGAACTGGGTGAGGCGGGGTTGTAGTTCTTTGTTGTATTGACCTACTACGGCATGTGTAACATTTTTCTGTCAACTCTGCATATATCCTTCGCAATCGATATCGCACTTTTGTCGATGGAACGGGTTAAGAGCATAGGCTACTAAATGTTCTGACCGCATTAGTGCAGGACAAAGCTCTGAGGACATCATAAGTTACAGGGACGGATGGTAGCTGTACAAAGTACACAGGCTACATCGTAATTTCAATTTTAATGGAGAGTAAAACAAAGGCAGACACCGTATAATCTGATTGGTAGCATTATTTGATAGAACACCGGCACCGTAACTTCATATTGACTGGCTGACTGGCCTAGCGAAGTCTGTGACAGGAGAGAGGATCGGGAGACAGGTGCGGCGTAAGTGGGTCAAGTGCAAATGACAAACACCTGTGTCTTGTTTCAGTGATTGGAGTGGAGAGACCGCATATAAGTGACGGGGAAACATCATTCAACAAAAAGACAGCTGGGAGACCTGTGGGTGAGCGTGCGTGAAGCGGCACGGAAAGGATTGTATCCAGTGAGAGAGAGAAGCAAGAGTGTGGGAGCGCGAGCCGTGTTGAATGAATTAACCCTTTTTGAACTGAGTTGATGCTGTAGCGCTGTGTGCGCACCTTTTCTTTGTTCTTTTATATTGTTTTGGAATAAAACCCACAGTCTACCCAAGCCGACCCTGTCCTCTTCCTTCCCTTCATACTGAACCGTACTACAGCCACCTATAATGTAAATAGCCTTAAGAGGCAGGCTCTTTAGCTTACAATAGCTTATTTCCCCCATATAACATGAAACCAGTTTTTTTTTGTAACATCATTAATATTGCCTGGGGTTTACAGAAACATCTTCTGATGCACGACCTTGGACACATCATCAGTGTTGTTTCCTGGAGTCACTCGGTGTTTCGGGTCTTACAACAGACACCCTCGTGCAGGCGACTCAACCGAGGCTGATCAGACCCCGGCCTGTGTCCAAGTGGCATTCTACTGCCCCCACTGCTCTCCCCTCTTTAACCAGAGCCATCTGGATGGCTGCATTTTCTGCTGCCTCCACATTGTTGCCTATGGCTCTTCTTCGGTTAGCACCTGTTATGCCCAGCCTTGTAGGCCTTGCTCAAGAAGTAACTGGCAAATCCCCTACTACCCACCTCTACTGGCATACACCTGTTCCTCCGACAATCCTCCACCAGTTCTTGGTATTTCTCCCTCTTTCTCGCTTGAGCTTCCTCCATCCTCTCCTCCCAGGGTACTGTCAGCTCTAACAATATCAGATGTTTTGTAGCCTCAGAGACCAAGATGATGTCAGGTCTCAATTTGGACTGGGTGATGTGTGTTGGGATTTTCAGCTGCCTATCCAGATCGACTGTCATCACCCAGTCTCGGACCGCGGAGAGCAGACCTACAAAGCAGTTTTTCGATGTTTTCTCTGGCTTTTGTCCTTCCTTGATGAAGTGAATGGCCTTGGATGTAGCTTGGGTGTATCGGCTGTCATTGATCCCCTTGCTAATTGCCTCAGCAATGGATTTGAGGACCTGGTAGTGCCTCAATCGATACCAGCCCTCACCCAGCGCCTTGGAGCAGCTGCTCAGGATGTGTTCTAATGTCCCTATTTTGGAACAAAGAGGGCATGCAGGTGTTTCTATTTTGCCCCATGTGCACAGGTTGGATGGACTTCTGAGGACATCATAGACCCCCTGAATCAAGAACTTGATTCTCTGGGGGTTCCCCTTCCAGATTTCCTTTCAGGTGACACTCCACTCCTACACCTGCTCCCACTTCATCCAGGCGCCTTGCTGCCGCATGGCCACTGCTCTGCTGGTTAGCTCTACCTCGACTGAAGCTCGTACCTCCTCCTGTACCAGCCTCTGCCTCTCCTTTCCGCTGGCAGAGTCATATTGGGTCGCTGTTAGGCTCCCAAGTACGGCTCTGCCTTGCGCCACTGTTCCAAGGATGTCCTTGTGCTTGTGCCGCATCTCTGCCTGCTGGACTGCCTCGGCTGCCCTCCACTTCCTCCCTGTCCTAACAACAATCCCTGCACCGGACACTTTGTCATCTCAGGATCTAGAGTACTACAGGTGTGCCCGTGCAACGATGAACTCCTCCCTGACTGAGCTAAAAGAGAGCATGAGATTGTTGGTGTTTCCATATAGCCCAATGTTACTTAGGCTACTCGGCAGGCCCAGTCATCTGCGTAGATAGCTGGTCACCCTTTTGCTCAAAACCTTCCACCACTGTCATGGGGACCTCATAGATAAGCAGAGGCCAGATGATTCTTGGGAGGATTCCGTGCTGGTAGACCCAGGCCTTGAATCTTCCAGGGAGCCCAGACTTATCCACTGTTCTCAACCATCCCTCCAGGTCAAGCACCGGTTGCCTTGACGGAGTCTCTATTGTTCAGACTGCAGTTGAAGACTTTCCCAAGGCTCTTCACTGGTCTCCCAGTGATTGACGGCATCTGGTGTTCTCCCAGCCTGAAACGGAATCTGTCTGTAACCTTCCCCTTCTTTAGGACCAGAGACCTGGATTTGCAGGTTTTAAAGGGTCACTCCACCCATTTCAACATTAATCTTTATTGAAAGTGGGTTATATATGTAGTCGAAATGTAAAAGAAATTTTAAATTTGGTGCCCTCTTGACCGAGAAAAGACAGAAAATAACTTTGGGGCGCATTTGTATGTAAGACAACAACTCCCACAATGCACCATGTTGCACAGCTCCGCAAGCCACTCCCACTAATCCAGAACAGCGCAAACATCAGAGAAATCGCTCTTCCGTCTACAAGAAGGCTAGCTGCCAAATGAGTTTAAAATTCATTTCACAAAAAATGTCTAGTTAGTTGTGGCGAGCAGGACGAGGGCGAGGGACGTGAGAGGACGACGCGAGTGATAATGAATGGCACCTGTGCAGCGGTCTCATATCTCTCACGGAGGAGCGGAAGCACAAAAGGAACAGGCCTGATTTTATGTTTTGTTTCTGTTGTGTGTGGCCAGCTGGCTTATACTTTTGTTTTGTATTTGTTTATTTTACTATTAAAACGTTTAAATGTTCGCCGGTTCCAGCCTCCTTCTTCCCACAACAACGAACCCCGTTACATTGGCAAACTCATTAGTGAATTACTCGTTTGTATTTCTTTCTATATGGTGAATTATTGCATGATACCTGCATGTTCAGTCAGGCGAAACTAGGATGGTTCACATCACAACACAAACGTCCGTGTGGTCGTCTGATTCAGAGATTTCGTCCAGGAGAAACTGCCTTGTTGAAATTCTCTGCAGCAGACGGACTCTATCTGTGTCCGTAGCGCACAGCGAGAGCACACGCACCAGCAGTCCGCCCAGCTCAAGCCAGCCCGGGCTCCTCGTCCGCGACAGGCAGCCGCCTCCTGTTCCACCATCAGCCTCAGCTGCTCTTCACTATAATGGGGCTCGTAAAGATAGCCACGAACAGCGGATTCGAGCAGCAGAATTTCAAAATCCTCTTCTTCCATATCATGTTTAGTTTCTTCCGTCATTGTCGTAACTTCCTATATCCACAGCGCTTGTTAGCTTAGCTTATAAACAAGATGGCTGATATTGCTTTCAGTATCTGCAAGTGAAGTCCCACCCACTGATCTGTGATAGCTCTGTTAGCGCATTAGGTCCAACCCCCTATGGGCGGGTTTGAAAGGGTGGGAATTTGTGCTTGTAGTCTATACAGAAATCCCCCCTTTTTACACTTCCTCCTACAATGACGTCAAATGACGATTTTTGCGTCATTGTAGGAGGAAGTGAAAAAGGTAAATAGTAGATTTCTCTCGTCTCAGGGGAAAATGAAAGAATGTTGCACGACCATTCAATAGTATGACTGGTTGTCTAACAATGGACCTCTTAATGCAAATAGGTGGAGTGACCCTTTAAGCTCATGCGTGCCCATGCCATGAGTCTCTCCATCCCCTGGAGGATCCACCTTGCTCCTGGTACCGCCGTTGTTGTCACTGTGAGGCCGTCAATGAATGCTCTTATGCGAGGTTGCCTTACTCCAGCCTTGCTGAGGGGGCCTCTGCACTCTGTTTCAGCTGCCTTGACCATCATGTTCATTGCCAGCGCAAAGAGGGTCACTGAGATGGTACAGCCAGTGATTATCCCCACCTCCAGCTGGTGCCAGTCAGATGTTAGCTGGCCAGTGGAGACTCTCAAGCTGAACTTGCTGTAATAGTTCAGGATGAGATCTTTCACCCTCTGCGGTACATGGTCTTTCTCCAGTGCGACCTCCACCAGCTTGTGGGGTATTGAGCCATAGGCATGGTGAGGTCCAGTCACAGTACAGCCAGGTCCCCCTCTGCCTTCTCTTGCTTCCCTGGTGAGCTGGGTTACCACGCCTGTGTGTTCAAAACAACCAAGAACTCGAGGTATTCCTCCCTTTTGCACAGACGTGTTGATGTACTAATTGCTCAACAGGAAGTTGGAGAGCCTCTTGGCCAGGATGCTGAAGATTTTACTCTCCACACTGAGCAAGGAGATCAACCCGGAACTGGTCGATGTTCTCAGACTTCTCCTCTTTTGGTATGCACACTCCCTCAGCATACCTCCACGGCTGGGCGATCTTCCCTCTCCTCCAGATCACCTACAGGGCCCTCCAAAGCCGATGTAGTAGCTTTGGGCAGTTCTTATACACCTTGTAGGGCACTACACTTGGGCCTGGTGCTGAACTCGATCTTGCTCTCCTCACCACTTCCTCCACTTCACTTAGGCGGGGCTCCTTCAGGTCGAAGTCTGATGAAGGCTCTGGTGGTATTAACGCATCGCATGGACCCAGCATTTGTTCTCTGATGGAGTCACTATAGGTGGCCTTGAGGTGGTCGTTTATGGCATCCTTGGAGCAGGTGAGGCGGCCAACCCTCTTTTGGCCAAGGAGCTGCTTGGTCAACTTAAATGGGTTGGCCAAGAATGCTGCCCTCTTCCTGGCTCTCTCCTTCCACCTCCTTCTGTGGAACTCTGCCCTCCGTAAGGTCAAGAGTTGTTTCCTTAGGATTGCTCTCAGGTCCGCTAGGCTGACTCTCTCGACTTCCCCCACTGATTTGTATTGCCTCTTTAGCAGCCTGGGTTCTTCCCTGAGGCACTGCATTTTCCTTACTCTGTGGCTTGGAGCATATGCAGATGGAGCAGGCTTGGGTGCCTCGGTTCCAAATCGCTCAGCTGTGATATTCAATATGAGGGTGGTCATCGTTCTCAATCGGTGGTCCACGTCACCCTTGGCTGTCCCTTCCAGGACCTGGCTTACATCTTCATCAAATTGTTGCCACTCAACTCTCTTGTGGGATTTGGGCCACTGGATCCTTGGTTGGCTTGCTGGCTTTGGAGGCCATGTGTGTTGTCAGAAGATGCTGCCTCTTGGGTTATAGTGGCAGGTGAGTTGCTGGCAGCAGGTATTGGCGACACTAGGAGGCTCTGGGCACTGTGGGTTGCCTTCGGGCCTGGCTCCTCCTGCATCTTACTATATTAATATTAATAAGGAATAATGTGCAGTCTTCCAGTTATTGTTGCAATATAAACCTTGGCAGAGTGATCAGACCCCCAGTAGAAAAGGGGGAAGGTGGCAAGATGGTAACAAGGAGCCATAGGGGGCTCCACAAATATTGGCACCCAATTTGAGTAAATAGACATAGGCGATCACAGAGTGCTGATATATAGCCATATCGCACGGCAACGAGTATGATATTGCGTTTATACAGCAGTTCGACGGCACAAGTCAGTAAATAAATAAGTAAATAAACAACAACGGAGTGTCTTTAAAACCCCTTTTTATGTGCAGAATTACTTCCTTCCGCCACATATTCAAATCTCAAGTTGACAGTTTAACAGTTTACCTGAAGCCTCTGTTACTAATTCTAAAACGTCACTTTAGAGCTAGTAAAGAAGGAACACTGAGTCGCTTCATTGAAGCATATTGTACTATGTAGACCGTATAGAGTATTATGGTATTATGAGAGAAAGATTGACTAAACAAGTGTATTACCTGCATATAGCATTCATTCTTCAAGTCCATCTCCATAACATTATATCCATTATAAATGGATTGTAAATTATAGTCAGATTGAATCTCCGCTGAGGAAGGTAATATCTTACTAAACCAACTTCCTTGTTCTGACTCACTCATAAAGACAGTCTTTGCTGCCATCTAATGGGGGAATAATGTAACTTTCACTGAAGTCCATATCACAATCACTAACGGACCATTTCTTAAAACCAAATATGATGTATTATTTATACAAAATAATATTTATTGATCAACCATTTTAAATTAATAACAATAGCCACTATAAAAGACAATAGGAAATAAACACAAGCAAACAATTCAGTCAAACATTCAAAAGCAGCACTCTAGTACAGGATTTCTGTTAAATATAGCCTAAATATAAAGTTATTAAACTTAATTTCCCCTTAACCTAAAGATTGCCCATTTGATGTACCCCAAATGAATTATATCTCATGTTTAACCACTATCTACATAAGAGCCAGTCGAAAATTCCCAAAGGATTGGCCGAGATGAAGCTGTTCTCTGCGGGTACATGAGCGCTGAAAGGCGGCTGACGGTCTGAAGCTCGCATCTGCAAAATCATCTTAACAAATTGTAAAATAGGCACTATGTTTATATATGAGTCACATATTTGAGGTCTAAATAACTACATCCTTGCCTAAAAACTTTTAAAACTACATTTTGAGACAACAATAGTAGTATTTTTAATAAATATGGTGGATTTGCATGACTGTCGCAGAGTAGGCAGAGTCATACAAACGGTGAAACAGTTCCGGTGCTGATACTGGGGGAATATCGGACGGCTGGAAGAGGCTCTCAGCCAATCATATTCTAGAACTAGAAAGAACTGTTGTATAGTATATATATAAATAGTGTGTGGCGGGCTTTAAGCTGTGAAGACTCACCTCCAACATGTACTGTAACATGTAAAGTCCATGTTCACACCATCTCCACGACTCCACTCGCAAATTTTGTGTAAAAAGCAGTCCATACACTATAAGCGCCATTTCTTCTTGCTGGTCGTCCACCATGTTGGTTTACTTTAAAGGGATGCGAGAGATTATCCAAGATTTCCTCTGTTCACAGGCAGGACTCTGGTTGTTTGTGAATGGAATCTTTTAGTGTGTGGTGTGCTTTCCTGGTCACATTGCGGCACTCCACACACAAGATGAACAAAATGGTTAAATCTATTATTTCTTATCGTCATGTTTGTGGTCTCTCACATTTTGAAAATCTTATAAGATTTTAAAAATATTTTAGTATGGCCCAGCCTTAAGGACTACAATGATGTCAACCCAAAAATGGCCATCCTCAACCTCTGAATCAGCCAATAGTTAGCTTGGAAGGGTAGTCACGCAGCATGACATCATTTAATGTCATTATTAAAAATCACTTAATTAAGACACTGAAATATTTAATGAAGTATTGATGATGTGGAATCCTTTCTTTTAATATATATGTCTCCTCACTCAGGGCTCCAGACTGCGACCACATGGTCGCATTTTGCGACCAAAATTTGAGAGTGTGCGACTGAATTTTACATCCAGTCACACGTGTGCGACCAGTAAATTTGCCCTTTTTTTGTACACGTTAAACGTGGAAGGAGCGCGTCAATGAATCCGGAATGAGTGGCAGTCCAATGAGTGTGACAAGAATAGGGAATGGCCACTGTAAGTCAGTAGTATGTGTAAGTGGCTAATGTGTGGAGGGGGAAGGTCCTAGAGTTAATCGAGCGCGCGCAAACGTCTGTGGGAAGGAGACATAGACAGTAAAGAAAGGGAGGAGACGGAGACAAATATCACAACCTGCTATGTGCGTCTGAGCAACGAGCAAGCGATCTATCGACTCGTCTGGGTCATATGGCACATATAGTACATGAGAGGACACAGGCTCCACTCGGAGATTGTAGAATCCGGTGAATGTGTTGGGTGTCGCCCAGCCTGCAGCTCTGCAGATGTCTGTTAGCGAGGCGTCATGCGCTAGAGCCCAATAGGACGCAACACTCCGGGTGGAGTGGGCAGTCACACCAAGGGGGCATGGTCGACCTTGCTGCTGGTATGCCAAAGCAATGATGTCCACTATCCAGTGAGACAACCTTTGCTTGGAGAGATCCTTTCCCTTCAGCTTCCCACCATAACAGACAAAGAGCTGGTCTGAGGTCCTGAAACACTGCATTCTGTCTACATAGGTGCGGAGAGCACATACTGGACAGAGCAGTGCAAAGGCTGGGTCTGCCTCCTCCAGGGGCAGCGCTTGCAGGTTCACCACCTGGTCCCGGAAGGGAGTGGTGGGAACCTTGGACACATATCCAAGCCAGGGTCTCAGGATCATGTGAGAGTTAGCCGGCCCGAACTCCAGGCGCGCTTCGTCAACGGAGTATGCGTGCAGGTCCCCTACCCTCTTGATGGAGGCCAGTGCAACCAGCAGAGCTGTCTTCATAGACAGGAAATTAATCTCCACTGAGGGAGCACTCTGCAGGTCAGTTAGAACCACTAAGAGGTCCCAAGAGGGAACGAGAGGAGGGCGAGGAGGATTCAGTCTCCTCGCTCCTCTCAGGAACCTGACGATCAGGTCGTGCTTCCCTACGGACTTACCTTCCACTGTATAATGGTAAGCGGCAATAGCGGCAACGTATACTTTGAGGGTAGAGGGAGACAGCCTTTGCTCCAACCCATCTTGAAGGAAGGAAAGCACGACACTGATCGAACACCTCCGGGGGTCTTCTCGGCGAGAAGAGCACCAGTTGACGAAGAGGTTCCACTTCAATTCAATTCAATTCAATTAAAATGTATTTGTATAGCGCTTTTCACAATACATATTGTTTCAAAGCAGCTTTACAGAAAGTGCATTTCAGAAATGTACATAGAAGAATATAGTTAGTTAATCATCATGTATTAATTTAGGGCATAACATATCGCCGGCGTTGAGTCGTCTCTTCACAGGCATATCTTCACAGGCGTCGAGTCGTCTCATCGCAGGCGTCGAGTCGTCTCATCGCAGGTGTTGGACCATCTGAAGTCTCCGTGAGAGGCTGGATACAAACTGGAGCTGACGAACGCTATTTACCTCGGGACTAGCGTCCCGAGATAACAGCAGAAAAGCAGATGGGAAATAATTAGCGTAGCTGCTGTTCATAATATTAATGCATTCGATCTGATTCAACAGTGGTATAAAAGGTAAGCATTATGTGAATGCTTGGCTGAAGAGATGCGTCTTTAATCTAGTTTTGAACTGGGAGAGCGAGTCTGCGCAACGAACAGTATCAGGAAGGCTATTCCAGAGTTTAGGAGCTAAATGTGAGAACGCCCTCCCTCCTTTAGTGGACTTAGATATCCTAGGAGTGACCAGAAGCCTCGAATTTAGGGATCTTAAAGAACGCGATGGATTGTAGGGCGATAGAAGGTCCATTAAATACACAGGAGCTAAACCATTTAGGGCTTTATTGGTCAGTAGTAGTACTTTGTAATTGATACGGAACTTAATAGGTAACCAGTGCAGAGATGATAGAATCGGTGTTATATGATCAAATTTTCTTGACCTAGTAAGAACTCTAGCGGCTGCATTTTGCACTAACTGTAGCTTGTTTATTGAAGATGCAGGACAACCAGCTAATAAAGCATTACAGTAATCTAGTCTCGAGGTCATGAATGCATGAACTAACTTTTCTGCATCAGAAACAGATAGCATGTTACGTAATTTAGCAATGTTTCTAAGGTGGAAAAAGGCAGTTCTTGTAACATATGAAATATGATTTTCGAAAGACAAGTTGCGGTCTAGTATAACACCCAGGTCTTTTACTGTAGTGGATAAGGTAACAGGACATCCTTCTAAATTAAAGTTGTATTGTAAGAGATTTTGTGGGTAGTTTTTTGGACCAATAAGTACCTCCGTTTTATCTGGATTTAATAGCAGGAAATTACACGTCATCCAGCATTTTATATCTTTAAGACATTCTGTCAATTTAGATAAGTTAGTGTATTCATCTGGTCGTGATGAAATATATAATTGAGTGTCATCAGCATAGCAGTGGAAATTAATTCCATGTTTTCTTATAATATTACCAAGTGGCAGCATATACACTCACCGGCCACTTTATTAGGTACACCTGTCCAACTGCTCGTTAACACTTAATTTCTAAGCAGCCAATCACATGGCGGCAACTCAGTGCATTTAGGCATGTAGACATGGTCAAGACAATCTCCTGCAGTTCAAACCGAGCATCAGTATGGGGAAGAAAGTTGATTTGAGTGACTTTGAACGTGGCATGATTGTTGG